CCAGCTTTTTCTGTGTATGTGGTGCTGAGGAATTGAACCCAGGGCCTCATGCATGCAAGGCAAGCACTCTACCACTGAGCCACCTTCCCAGCCCCACCACTCCAATTTTCAAGTGGTTTATTGGAGATAAGAGTATCACGGACTTTCTGCCCGGGCTGGCTTTGAACCGTGATCCTCAGACCTCAGCCTCCTGAGTAGCTGGGATTACAGGCATGAGCCACCGGCGCCCAGCTGTTTGTTTTAAACAAAAAGGAGTAGAAAGCAATTCCAAGAATTGGGGACTGCGTGCGCGTGTGCTCCCTTGATTAAAAAAAAAAAAAGAATTGTGGCTCACACTATGATTCTAGCTACTGAGGAAGCAGAGATCTGAGGATCACATCTCTAAGTCAGCCAGGGCTAGAAAGTCTTATTTCCAATCAATCATCAAAAAGCCAGAAGTAAAGCTGTACCAAAAGTGATAGAGCATTTGCCTTGAGCAAAAGAGCTCAGGGACAGTGCCCAAGCTCTGAGTAAAAGCCCCAGCACACACAAAAAAGGTTTGAAATGGCATGTCTCTCAACATCCAGAAATAAAGGCCTCAGATTTATTTCTAAATACTTCATGTAACTCCTAATGAGTTATAATCTTTCTATAGGAAATATATTCCATTAAGTTGGTTGGAATGAAACTTACCTGTATAATAATCTCTAAGTTCATATTTGGTTTGCCTTTTTGCAGGCTGGAAAGAAGCCTTCCAATCCAGCCTTCTGGTGGATCAGTGGAAATGGAGAAGAGGTGAAGTGGAGCTTTGAGGAACTGGGGTCTTTGTCCAAGAAACTCGCCAATATACTTACAGAAGCCTGTTCACTGCAAAGGGGAGATAGAGTCATTGTGATTCTGCCCAAGATCCCGGAGTGGTGGCTTGCAAATGTGGCCTGTCTGCGAACAGGTCAGTAATGCTTGCAATCCAATCACATTAAATTAAGCAGGGTAAAACATTTTCTCTTAGCTCTACAAAGAAATATGTATTTCTATTTTAACTGTTTGGGCATATTGTTTGCTTATAAATCTATCACTACTATAAAGCTATGTAAGCTCCTAAAAAGCCATGTACTTCCAATGATTGGAAAACAGTCAATGTTGAGTAAAATATTTATTAAATTAATATTCTTATCATAACAAATATTATTCATCTATTAATTATAATCATTAATTCCATTGAAAAAGTGTTAGTCTATTCTATTTCATGTATATCTGTGAAGTATATGTTGAAAAAGGAAAGCCCACTTTTAAGCAGTTTTTTTAAACAAAATGATTGTTTTCATGAGTGTTGCTTAAGCTCACTTGGTAAGGAACTGTTTTTGATTGCTAGGAATAGATACCTATTTATTATTAGTGCAATAAGAAAGGAGAGTTATTGAGTTATGGCTATCAGAAGCCTCATAAGGGAAAAAAGTGTAGAAGGAACAAGGGAGTTTCTGGAAGAGAACAGACTCTAGCCAGCAGCCTCTTTCTCTGTTTCTTTTGTTCTAAAGTGCCCTTTGACTTCTTCTCTCTGCTAATACGTGGCTCTCTGTTCTATAATCTGCTTGGTGTATGGGTTTGATTTGCTAACTCAAATGCTTCAGACTCTAATCTATGTGACCCATACACTCAATCTATTAATTTTTTGGGGGGGGTCCAGTTGTGGGGCCCGAACTCTGAGCCTGGGCACTCTCCCTTAGCTCTTCAGCTCAAGGCTAGCGCTCTACCACTTGAGCCACAGCACCACTTCTGGCTTTTTTCTTTTTGCTTAAGTGATGCTGAGGAATTGAACCCAGGGCCTCATGCATGCAAGGCAAGCGCTCTACCACTGAGCCACCTTCCCAGCCCTATTCTTTTAAATTTTTGAGGCAAACAGAGTTCAAGCCCCATGACTGACAAAAAAAATGTTTTGGGGCAAAATCTGATGAACAAAACATAGATGTGGTCAGAGGCAGTTTTGTCTTCCAAAAACATAATAAACGTGGTTATTGGCAGGGAGAAAAGCAAATTCTCTTGGAAGGATGAGAAAGGATCAATCTAATATTCTTTTTTTTCTTTTTTACTGTAAAAATGTCATACACAGGGGTTAGAGTTACATGAGTAGGGTAATGAGCACATTTCATAGCGAGCATTGTTTCCCCTACCATCACTTCCCT